GGGGCAGGGATGGGGTGGAGTCAGGGCGGGGCCAGGGGCAGGGGGGCCCGGGCACCCATCGGTGCCAGAGAAAGTTGGCGCCTATGAGCACTTGGGCTGTTGACATTCTAGAAGGTCACAGCAATTGCGCTACTGCAGAGGGAGGAGAGCGGGGGAAGCAGGTTTGCTGTGCAAGGCTTTGTCCTACCTCGGACTGGGCGGGCACAATGAACTGCGGCGGGAGGTTGACATCGGGCACTTTGCAGTCTGTAGTGAACGTCACCGGGAAGACGAGGGGGTTCTCCACCTTGACGGAGGAGGACGTGCTCTGCCGAACAGGGGTAACCATCTCGATGGTGCTGACCGGACCAGAAGGGATGGCCTTGAACGTGACCAGGTAGAACACGTACTCCTGTGTCGCCTCATTGCGAAAGGTCACCTGAAATCAAGTACAAAAGAGGTAACAGTCAGACCTAGGGGAGCTGGGAGCTCCCTCTGGACCGGGGGCTAGTTCCGGTCACAGGAGAAATGAACTCATCTTGGACTCTTCCCACCTGCCTCCTACGCACACCTGGCAGAGAACAGGTGCCCTGCTCAGCTTCCAGGGGAGCTTCACTTTAGATGTCCAACTACCAGAACAGTCACCTCATTCTGGGCACCCAAAAGTTTCAATATTTTGGTTTAAAATCCTAGAGACACCCACCCTCATCCCCACACACGACCAGCAAGCAACCCTTCCTTTGCAGAGCCACAGGGCCTGGGAGCGGGTCTACCTTGGCACTGAATAGCCCTTCCTTGTAGGAGAAGAAGGTGAGCTTATAGTCCTTCTTGGAGGAGGCAGGCACTTCCGTGTAGTCCAGCCCCTTCAGCATGGTGGTGATGTCCAGCTTTTCTGGTTTGATCACATCCACTATCACATGGAATCTGGGGAGAGACAAACAAGAGAAAGGTCAAAAGGCCTCATTTCCACTGCAAACAGCCAGACATCCGCCAGGTAGCAAACATTTACGCAGGCTGTCCAACTGGTGCAGCTAGAGTATGTCTACACTGTAGTAGGGACACGGGCTCTGACACATGTCTACGCCCTGCCCTAACACCCACAAAGCCCTTTGACATGCACCCACACCCCTCACAACACGGGCTGACTGGCTCGTCCCAGGGTAGAGGTGTGAGGCCACGGTCCGCTATAGTGTCATGCCTGCCCACTTCGCTGAGGCTATTCTAGCCAGGCTTGTGTTTGGATAGTCCACCAAAGCTATCCCACAATTCCTGGGCCCTGCACAGTCTGGTCCTTCTGCTCCTCAATAGTTGGTCCAACATGTGCTTTGTGGTTCCAAACCATGTGACCAGGGCCGGCTTGAGGGAAAATGGCACCCTGGGCGAACTTGCATTTTGGTGCCCCTGGCCCCCATGCGCGTGGCACCCCCCATTGCCCCTGGCCCCCGTGGGATCCCCACCCTCCCTTCCCCCCAACCCCTGCACTGTGCCCGTTTGCCCCTAATGCCTGTTCCCCCTCCTG